CACTGACAGTAAATTACGTAATTATACTGTAATGACAGTTAATTAACGTAATTGTACTGCCGTTGACAATACATTTATGTAATTGTGCTGCCGTTGACAGTAAATTAATGTAATATTATTATTTTTTTTTTTGTTGTTTTTTTTATTTTGTTTGATTTGTTGACAAGTCAACGTAATTATATTACTCTCGTTGACAGTAAAATAACTTTAAACACAATAATATTACTGTCAACAACATAAATATTATTATTTTTTTGGGTTTTTTGTTTTGTTTGAGTTATTCACGGAGTAACGTAATAATATTACTGTCTATTATTGTAATATTACTGTAAACACAATAATATTACTATGGTTGACGGTAATATTACTGTTGTTATAGTAATATTGTTGTCAACCACATCAATATTATTATTTTGTTTGGATTTTTTGTTTGTTTAAGTTATTAACAGAGTAACGTAATATAATATTACTGTCTATTATTGTAATATTACTGTGGTTGACGGTAATATTACTCTTGTTATAGTAATATTACTGTCACTCACATTAATATTAATTCTTTTGGTTTTTTATTATGTTTACATTTGTTGAACGGTCAACATAGTAACATTACTCTATTACACAATAATAATGAGTTTTGTTGTGTTAATATCACTGTGCTAGAGATTAATATAGCAATATTATTGTGTTAAATTGTGGTTTAGTTAATTTTACTGTGTTTAACAGTAATATAGTTAATATTACTGTCAATCACAGCAATATTGTTGTTTAAACGAAAAAAAAAGTTACAGAAAGAAAGAAAAGAAGAAAAAAAAATTCAAAAAAGTCAACGCCGGAAACCGGTGAAAAAATCCGGAAGAAAAAAAAAATGAAAAGTCAACGCCGGAATCCGGCGGGAAAAAAAAAGTTTTTGAAAAAAAAAGTTTTTGAAAAAAAAAAATTTGGGTCAAAATTGAAAAATTTGTGAAATTTGGGGTCAAATTGAGGTTAAATTAAGTTAAGGATGAAATTGGAGCATATTAAAGTATGAGGGGTTATTTTAGTCCTTTACAAAAATCTGGACCATGAGTGGACTTATTGGTAAAAGAGTTTTTTGTCTGAATCTCTTTATAAATAAGTACCAATTGATGGGCTTATAAGCAATGACCCCTTAAAAATAAGTCAATATTACACAAAACATTAAAAGAAGTTATATTCACATCACATTTTACCAAAACAAATCACCAATATACCTAATTCTGTTATAGAATTAACCATATATTAATGATTGTTAGTCTAGAAAATATAAAATAACAAATGAATCGAATGCACTGAGAGAGAAGGAGAAGAATTGCTTCTCAAAGCTGTATCTTCTCATTGCAATTCATGTTGTTTTATAGTACAAGATTTACATGCATAGTCATGCAAAAGCTAAGTCATCAATCTATATGATGACACGTAGCATTAGAGCTAGGATAGCTATCTATTCCTTAGTCTATAAGTAATATATATTATATATTA